AGGGGCTACCTTCGAGGAGTACCGGAAGACTGCTCCAGACTATGTGTACAGCGGGGAGGGAGATGATCGAAGGATCCTTCCCAAGAACACTCCGATAGACATGGAGAAATCGTTGCCAGCTGAGGCAGCGCTCCTGATCCCTAGAGCAGTGGCCACGCAAAAGGAGGCTGAGGAAGCTGAGAAGGCCGCAATGGAGGCCATCCGCGGGGACTTTAGGCTCCCTGACGTGGGTCAGGAAGACAGGGAGAAGGTCGACCCTCACACCATGACGGATGAAGACTTGGCTGCGTCGATAGACGCGTTGACTAGGAGATTGAGCGACATGCCTGAATGGTCGGGCAATCTGATTGATCCTGCAAAGTCTGCTGAGCTGGTCGCGGCGAGATGGGGCGGAAAGGCGAGTTATGACAAGCCTGAGGCTCCTCTGACTGAGGCTGGGATGAAGAGTGCGTCATTGGAGGATCGAGCTTATGCCCTGTCGCAGCTGAATGAGATGGTGAACTTTCACAAGAAGCACCTATGCTCTGGGCGAGGAGCGCCAATGGTAAGTGCAGCAGCCCCCAGTGGACCCTTTGCTCCTGATCAGGTGGATGAAAGCAGAAGGTTCCGAACGAGTGAGGCGGCAAGCAAGATGACCTACACTCTTGTGGTCCTGGACGGAAGGAGGGATTATCTTGCCGATAGGCAGGAAATCAATCCAGATCTAAGGGATACTGGGGTTATCCCTGATGAGGCCGCTACATGCCAGATTGTGATTCCCTCGAAGACAAGGTTGGGCGAGTACGTCCCGAACTACGAGGAAACCGCGGGCACCGTTGCAGGGCGGGAGGCGGCTAAGGAGTTGATGAGACTGCTCTCGTGCGACTTTGAAGGTCTGGTCATCAACTCGAAGAAAGTCTCGGAGTTATTCGAGGAACATGTGCTGAGGGAAACTGGACGTGAGGCTGGAAACTGGGTGAGTAGTGACCAGGCCATCTGGTTCCTGAGAGAGATCACGGGCATGGAGAACGCCGAGATGTCGTGGAAGTTCTTCATTCCGACGATCAAAGCTTTCCCGATAGGGTAAGTTGAGGCGATGCTCATGATCATGTACGATGGGAATGGTGTCCTCCTCAAGGAGAGCACTAGGTTAGTGGCCGTTAGGTACACGCGGATCGGACGTGACATGAGTTACAGTGCCGTTAGGCAAAGGTACACCCAAGAAGATGCACCTGGCGGATCTCTGATGTACGAGATGCACTGGAATGAACTCCCTATGGTGGGGTACGTCATCATGAAGTTCTCGGACTTTAGGAAGGCGGTTCAGCTCCAAAAGGTGAGGCGAAATGGAAAGGCTATGATCGAGATATTGATCACGAGGCCCGATGTGTACGAGACCATTGGGGATGGAAGGCAGGATGAGGGCCTGATCCCACTTGTGGAAACCATGGCGCCGAATGCCGAGATCGTGGTACGTCAGGGACAGGCTGCGGAACTACTCGGGAAGGTACGTGGTGGTAATCGTGGACCTTCGGGTGCACTGGTCATTGGTTGGACCCGTGTTTCTGACGAGGAGAAAGACCCTTGCCGTTCGGAACGAGATCCACATGGGCGCTTGGAAGGCAGCATACATGTACGATGACTACACGATAGTGTATCATCGGGCATGGGACTATGGTGACCTTACCCCCGATAGGGGAGAGCACAAGCGATCGCGTGAAGAAGTCAGGTTGAATGTGACCACCACCTTCTGTTTGAGGTGCGCGGAGATGACGCCAAATGGGATGCATTTGTGCCCTGGGTGCACTCCCGGTCTTCTACCCGAACTTCATCCCTAACGCGGACGAAAGTGACTTCGAGAGGTGCCGTATCGTCCCGGAGTGGGTAAGGAGCATGAGGCAGTTCAAGCCCAAGAGGATCCCATCTGAAGTGGTCGGAGTTATCAAGAGGAACTTGATTTCCTATTCGATGGCGTCCGACCTGAGGATGACGGTGCAGAGCGGCATCAGATTGCCCCCTTATCTTGGTGAGGATAAGGGAGGAGTCGACACGGCGTGGGATGAGCTGGCGAAGGTGCTCTTCCAATTCTCCTATGTGTCGGGGATTTCGGCCTCGGATGCGTTCGTGGAGAAGTGGGTGGCGAAGCACCTGATAAAGACCAATCAAGTCGATAGATTTGATTCGGTCACTGAGTACTTCCGAGCTAACCCGGTGCATGCTGCTCAGTGGGGTAGGCGTATGACGACTTCCGTTAGGAAGTTCGCTCGTCATGACACATACCTGTCTTTCTATATCCCGATGGCGTACGTGATTGGCTCCGCGGCGGGGCATCTGACTCCGTTGTATCCGACCCATCGGAAGGACGTGGACATCCTGGCCAGTCATGCGTTGATATCGGATCTCAGGAAGTACATGGTATCAGAGACAGGGTACGATGAGAAGAAGAGATTGAAGGAGGCGATAGCCAAGGTGCAGAAGGCAATCAGTGCCGGGCAGTCGGAGCCTCCCGCCCCCTTCCGCGACCCATTCGTCTACGTTAGTGACGAAAGGGTGAGGACGGTTCTTGATGGTCGTCAACCGGAGCCATTGGACGTGAACATCGAAGGACTTCAATCGGTGCATCATGCTGCGCAGGGTCCTGGTCCTAAGCAGGAGCCGATCGTCAAGGGCGGAAAAGGAAAAGGTAAGAAGGGGGAAAAGGGCGGTAAGGGCGGTAGTCCTTCCGGCCCACCACCAAAGTCAGGTGAAGTGCCAGGAAAAGGGTCTGGTAAGGGCGATAGTCCATCTGTCCCACAGGCAAAAGCAAAGGCTGATGCTGGGCCGGCTCCGATGGAGGTTGATGCAACTGTGGCTCAACCGAAGAAGACTTGGGTCGCGATAGCGGTTGAAGGAGCCCGGCCGAGTGCGAAGGCTAAAATGACCCCGGTTCCAAAAGCCGAGCCAAAAGGGAAGGCAGCTTCAGTATCTGAGGCGAAGAGTGCTCCGGCTCCGAAGGCTGAGGCTAAGGAGACGAAGCAGGCCGAACCGAAGGTTGAGGTCAAGAAGGAGAAGATAGGCGGAGATGACGCTCCTGGCGGTAGCCGGGGGTCGGCCGAAGGGCAGAGGAGAGAAAGGAAATCCCGTTGGGATCCCGATGAGACTGTGAAGGAGTCGACAAAGCGGGAGGCGTCAACAAGGCCTGATGACGTCGACAGCAGACCAGGTGCGGCAGCGAGAGAAGCTAGTGGAGATGATCTTCACTCCGCGCTTGGCAGGTCTTCGGCAAAGGACGCGGTAGCGCCTTTGACGGCCTCCAAGGCGATGGCAAAAGAAGCCTGAAGGGGGTGAGATCAGGTTGCAGTCGGCGGAGCGACTGCGAGCTCGGCGGAGGGTCACTTCCTGGTGTTGCCGGAGAGTTCGGTGGTGAACGCCTTCCTGACGATGTCACCCGATAGGGTGCTGAATAAGCAGGTCAGGGATTTCATCAGGAATGGTGAGAATGCTTCGGCGCTGGAGGCTCTTAACCAGATAGTGTCGAACTCTCGCCTCGGGAGAGGACGTCGAGATTCAGATGTGTCCCGTACTCCTTCTCGGAGGTCCGTTAGGACAGTGGACACCAGGGATTCCCGAGAATCAAGAAGGCGCAGATACCGTCCGCGGCGCGACGAAGATCGTGACCGGAGGAGGGACGATGCTCGAGATCGTCGTGATGATGAATCACACGATCGGGAGCGGGATCGAAGGCGAGATGATCGCAGGAGATCCGAGAGAGATCGTGATAGGGATCGTGCGCGGGGCGGACGTGACCGGAGGAGACGTGACGATAGCCGGTAGGCTGAGTCACGAGGATTGCGGCCGATAGGCTTGCGTCCATTCTCCGATGGTTGGCGCGGTGGGGAGGTGATGATGTTCCTCCCGAACCGCTGAGGCGCGGAGATCGTGTCTCTCCCGTACCGCTGCTTGGCTGCTGGTCGTGCTCACCATGAAGTTGTGCGAGTGAGAGGGGAAGCAAACTGATGGGGGGATACTCCCGGGTTTGCGAAATTCAACAATTTTTCAGGTGCGCATGGTCAGGGGTACCTCTTGCCGATAGGCAAGGGTACTGATGAACATACGTTATCCTTTATTTCATGGCTTCTGATAAGAATTGAACTACTTGCATTGTTGAGGCAAACAGTTGTGGCCTAGTGCCGTCATGTGGACTTTTCCACGAGGTATGTTGGACAGCGTTACCCCGATTAATTCGGGGTGGTGGCGGGATTTTAATGCCCGGGACGTCGCGCAACTGCCTTTGTGGGTTTGCTCCACCGCTGACGGCGGTAGTGTCCAGCTGTTTGCGGATACATGCGAGCAGTTAAATCCTATCAGTAAATGGCACGCTCCACCCGTCATATGACGGGCTCCTCGTGAGGGGGGTGTGATTAGCCATGTCTTAAACCATCACCAGGGATGTCGCGATAGTCACTGACCGGTGGTGTTTGGCTCAAGATTTATGGGTTCCGTCGCGCCTCGAATGGGCGTCGCCGAACCCCTGCGTCGACCGACGACATCTCGGGGGAGAAAGAGACCTCGGGCCGCCGTCAGGTTGGTAGGGACCATTCGTGCGGCCTGTTGTCGGTCAAGGTTGCGGGTAACCCTTTTCTTGTTTGGTTATTTTCCCTTTTGGTTGTTGTTCTCTGGTGTGTGGGAAACCCTGATCTTTGGGACCGGGGATTGGTTTGCTTTTGGGGAACCTTTCTTTTGTGGCTTGTTTACCCCAACTTACCCATTGCCTGGGCACAGGCTCGTGCCCGAATCACATTTTAGATTTTTTGCTTTAGGTCAGGGCAACTTGGTGCTTACATCTTCGGGGGGTCTTGGTTTTGGTGTTTAAATCCATTGGTTGGCGTTGCAAACAAGAGGTTTGTCCCAGCTTCGGTGCTTGAAACCTTCCATTTGTCCAGGTTTTCGTGTATGAAACTCTCTGGTCGGCCTTTCAAATCCAACTGTTTGTCTGGCCGAATGCTAGTCAAGGTGCCGCACACTTTTGTTTGGCCCGCAAG